CTGAAACTCCTGGACTGTGTTGTAGTGGTGGCAAAGTAAATATACCTATAATTCCGGAACCAACATCCGTTTTAAAGGAACTGATATCAGGCTCACATCTATCATCTAAGCATTTCTTAAATCACTCAAGACAATATAATACATTATTTCAGATGACTTCATTTGGTGCCAAAGAAATTCGTGAGGGAAACTTTATGCCCACTTTTAAAGTCCAAGGGCAAGTTTATCATTTAATCGATGACTTACTTCCATCTGTAGGGGCACAACCCGAATTCCTGCAAATATATTTTGTTTCCCATGCAGATCAGGTATCCTTGCGCTCAAATTTAAACCCAAGCTTGCAAATCGATCTTATCGACGTTCTCCAAACATATCTTCATGATCATAATACGTATATTCAAAGTTTTAAGTACAATCTAGAAAATAGACCACCGAATGATTTAAAACTTATCATTCATGCTGATGTAAAACCTCCTAATGAGCATAGAGGTCGGTATAATGCGCCGGTAGTAGATGAAGTAGCTGTTCTTATGATAGATGAAGACAAAGGTCCCCGTGATATTGTATTGACTGCGAGAGATGGTCGACTTCAACGAGTTTCTGAAATTCATAGATCTTATGACCCGCTTCAATATCCCTTACTGTTTCCCTTTGGAAACGACGGTTACTGTATTAATATTCCACAGCAGAATACTACGGCTACATTTAAAACTTTTTCATGTATGCAGGTTTATGCATTTAGATTCATGGTGAGAATAAATGACTTTAACAGTATACATTATTTCAAAGGATTATTCAACCAATATTGTGTTGATATGGCGGCAAAAAATGATCTCTGAGAGGCTAGACTTCATCAAAAGAAATCAAAAAAAATTGAGAGCAGAAGAGTACATTCATTTAAGAGATGCCGTCGTAAATGATGGACATATAAACGCTTCTAATATTGGCCAGCACGTTATATTGCCGTCGTCATTTACAGGATCCCCCAGATTCATGAATGAAAAAAATCAAGATGCCATGACATATGTCAGGAAATTTGGAAGACCTGACCTCTTCATTACATTTACATGTAACCCTAAATGGCCACAAATAAAAAGTGAGTTATTGCCCAATCAACATTCTTATGATAGACATGATTTAATTTCTAGGGCATTTCATTTAAAACTCAAGAAAATATAGACCTATTAACGAAGAAAAATATTTTTGGCCCATCGAAAGCCTTTGTTTACAGTGTAGAATGGCAAAAAAGAGGTTTACCTCACGCCCACATTTTATTGTGGCTGGCTAACAAAGTTCAACCAGATTCTATAGATGCAATAATATCGGCTGAAATACCTGACATACAACAAGATCCGATTCTTCATAATATTGTCATAAAAAATATGATACATGGTCCTTGCGGATTTCATAATCCTACATCACCATGTATGAAAGAAAACGTTTGTTCTAAAAAGTTCCCTAGGCATTTTATTTCGGAAACACAAACGGGAGATGACGGTTATCCAACCTACAGACGCAGGTCTCCAGATAATGGTGGAAACACAGCTATAATTCGTGTAAAAGGTACAGAAATGAGCGTGGATAATCGTTGGGTGGTTCCCTATAATCCACTGCTATCACGAATTTAAAATGCACACATTAACGTAGAGTTTTGTCAATCGGTCAAAGCTATTAAATACATCTGTAAGTATATTCATAAAGGTTCTGATCAAGCCACATTTTCGTTACAAAATAATAACGATGAAGTAGAAAAATATCTAAATGGTCGCTATATAAGTTCCTCGGAGGCGTTTTGGAGAATTTTCCAATTTTCTATTCATGAACGTTTTCCGGCAGTAGTTCATTTAGCCGTTCATTTGGAAAATGGACAAAGAGTATATTTTTATAATAATGAAAATCTCCAAGATCGTGTGAACAATCCTTCATCAACGACACTTACAGCGTTCTTTGATCTCTGCAAAAGCGACGATTTTGCAAAAACCATTTTATATCACGAAGTTTTCCAGTATTACGTTTGGCAAAGAAATTCATTTTCTAGAAGAAGACGCGGGCAAGATGTTGAGGGATATCCCGGTGTAAAAAAAGACACAAATTTAGGCCGTGTTTATAACATTCATCCAACTCAAACTGAATGTTTTTATTTAAGAATGTTATTGCAATATGTTCGCGGTCCAATGTCATTTCAACATCTAAGAACCGTGAATGGTGTTATTTTCCAAACGTACCAAGGCGCTTGCAAGGAATTAGGTTTACTGGAGGGAGATGAACATTGGCAAAATAACATATCCGATGCTATCATATCCGAGCCAGCTACAAAATTAAGAGAATTATTTACCACTATCCTTATATTTTGCCAACCATCTGACCCCTTAGAGTTATGGAATAAATTTCGTGATGCTTTATGTGAAGATATATTAAACAGAATGCGTAATGAGAATCAGGATATGACATTAGCATATTATGATGATATATACAATGATGGACTAATTATAATTGAAGATAAAATTCATGAGATTTCAGATAAATCCCTAACCGACTATGGGCTTCCTGCAGCAAAAAGAGATAATTCGCTTCTGGACCCGTTAGAAGTAGCGTTGCGAAAACCATATAACATAAATGAATTAAATGAGTATATCACACAAAATGAACCAAGATTAGTTAATGACCAGGTGACAACCTATACTTGTGTCATGAAAAGTGTTCGTTTTAATGAAGGAAGAATTTTCTTTTTGGATGCTCCCGGTGGGACCGGCAAGACGTTTATCACTAATCTTATATTAGCAAAAGTAAGGTCTCTAGGAAAGCTAGCCTTGGCAGTAGCGTCGTCAGGTATTGCTGCAACCTTATTAGCAGGTGGACGCACAGCTCATTCAACTTTTAAACTGCCCCTAACTGTGTCTTTAGAGAAAGATAGCGTGTGCTCTATACGCAAAAATGGCCCTTTGGGGAAAATTTTACAAGACGTCAGTCTAATAATCTGGGACGAATGTACCATGATACATAGAGCTCACGTAGAAGCTCTAGACAGAACTCTTAGAGATCTTAGAAGCTGTGATAAAATCATGGGTGGGATTACTGTTATGTTTGCTGGGGACTTTCGCCAAATTTTACCGGTAATAGTAAGGGGAACTAGAGCAGACATTGTGAAGGCTTGCCTTAAAAGTTCTCCATTATGGAAATTTGTAAATATTTTAAAATTATCGACAAATATGAGAGCACATTTGGGGGGAGGTAGTATAACTTTCCCTTCAAAATTACTTTCTGTAGGAGACGGGAAAATACCTCATTCTAATAATAAAATTGAAATTGATTGCGATTTAGGAGTAAAAGTAGGTAACATCGAGGAATTAGTAACTAAGGTATACCCTGACATCAGCCAAATAGAAAACAAGGACCATCAATGGATGTGTCAAAGAGCAATATTGGCGGCAAGAAATAGTAGCGTTGACGAAATAAATGATATCATTTTGAGTAAACTCCCAGGAGATATTGTAACCTACACATCCATTGATACCGTGATGGATCAAGAAGATGTAGTTCATTACCCACAGGAGTTCCTCAATTCCTTGAACCCAAGCGGCCTTCCCCCACATTCTCTTAAGTTAAAAATAGGTGCCCCAATAATTTTACTAAGAAATCTCAAACCACCAAATTTATGCAACGGGACCCGACTTCAAGTAAAATTTCTGCGCAATAACGTCATCGTTGCAATAGTTTTGACTGGTCCAGCAGTTGGTCAAACAGTCCTCATACCCCGCATCCCAATGATACCCAACGACTTACCTTTCAATTTTAAAAGAATACAATTTCCGCTTAAATTATCTTTCGCAGTCACAATAAATAAATCACAGGGGCAAACATTCAAACACGTGGGGATCGATTTACGCCAAGACTGTTTTTCGCACGGCCAGTTATATGTCGCGTTATCAAGATCGGGTTGTGGCGAAAATCAATATGTTCTTCTGCCACAAGATAATAAAACAAAAAATGTAGTATATGCAGAAGTTCTTTAAAATAATAAAATTTACTTTAAAAATTGTACAGATATAGTTTGGAACTCGAAAAAAAAACATAGGTTTTATCCTGAAAATTTTGCGGGAACTCGACCATTCCGAAAATTCCGCAAGAACGGGAACTATGTGGGAAGAACCAAAAATCTGCCGGAAGTCACTATTCCACGCGGACGAAGTCACGGGCAAAAGCTAGTATAATATAAATGTTACAATCGATTTAAACAGGCTAAATACTGCAGTGATCCAAATAATAGCAGTTCGCAACAGAACATTTTTTCAGCGCTGTTAGCCTTACTGTAGATCATATGTTATTTTGCGTGGAATTCGTTTCTACCGAAATATTGACTCCATATTTTTAATGCCAAATAAAGTAATAAGACAACGGCTATAAACATAACAGAAATGTGGTTTGTTTTGAAGATGGCACTAGGTGGTGATGTAATTTGCTCAAACAGATTGAGAACTTGAGCGGCAATTCTACATAAAACACCATTTGTGTATGTAAAAAACACTTAGCATATTAACATGTTTGTATATGCAAACGTTGGAAAGGTGTTACTACTTGCATTTAGCAAACAAATTAAACTGTATTCGTTTTCGACGATACATGGCATAGCCAGGCAAGCGGCTTCGAACAATAGCTGCTGATAAGTATGCCAACTGTCAAAATCCTTACAAGAATGCAAACATAAAGTTAAAGTTAACCACGCCCTACTAACGAGAGCAAACTATACACAAACGCATACATACGTACATAACTGCTGATACGTAAACCGATGTTTACTCAACGTAAGCAGTAGCTATGCTGTTTTGTCACACGCTTCGGCTAAACTGTACGAATAGTGTTGTTAAAGAGCAACCCCTCTTTTTGTGTAATTTGTTAAAAGAGCCATTAGATAAAGTGTTTAGAACCATAGATCCAAGTTTAAAAAATTCAAAAAGAACCAAAAAAGGAGTGTTTTGATAAAAAAAACACACTTATTTCTTTTAATCATTTAGACAACTTTTTTCATAGCAATCTGTATTTAATTTAGCAAAATTAAAAAACACGCATATCATGTGCAAATCATATAATTTAATAACACTTTGCACTTATAACTGTTGAAGAGCTTTTAAACATTTATAATAACTACATCTATAATACAGTGGTATTCTTTTTACTTATAATAAAACTATATTTTCAAATTAATAACCAAATATATTCAGTTAAAAATATGTATAGTAAAGTATTCATCCAAGCAGATTTCGAGTTCATATAGGTAGCAATTTGTTTATGAACGGTTTGGCCTATGTTTCTTCAACAAACAATTTCCAATAAATTCCGCATTCAACTGCATTGAAAATTGCTTCGTGGGAAATGTTATTATTTTTTATTACGTTCGCTTCTTTATATATGGTCCCACATTATTACGTTAGGTGACAGCTTTCCATTACATTCTTTAAGAAGACAGATACTGAAGCGTTTTTTGAAATTAGTCATCCAACCATCACTGGAAAAAAAATTTTTTTTTTTTATAAAATAATTTACAAAATTACTGAATTTAATTTAGTTTAGAAACAACAACAAGAGTATAGCTATTTTTTTTTAATAGTAGCACCCAGTGATTTTTGTTGTATGGACTGCGAGTATTCCGTTGAATTGCACCCAAAATATCACATATATATTTACGTATGTATGTACACTAGGGTGGGTTAAACCGAATATGTTTGTTTTTTGCTTGGTACTCTGAAAAATAGGTACTTAGACACTTCTAAGACAGTATCTCCAAGTATGAGCTCTTAATTGTAACAGGAAGGACTCAGTGGTCAGCTAAAAGAATTATTCTTTTTTCATTGAGTTATAAAATTCAAAAGAAATAAAAAATTTGCCTTAAAATAATTAGGTTTACGAAAAAATCGTAGAGACCTTTTTTGTAGAGCATTCAATTTCTATGAAACGAGATATGGAACCGAGATTTCTGAAAAAATATAAAACTGCAAGGGCCTATTTTTCAGAGTACCAGGCGAAAAAATATTGGTTTTTTGACCCACCCTAATTTACACTCGAATCAGAAACGGCACCAGTTCGCTTGAGAATACAGAAATTTTAATTCGCCATGCTAAGAAAATTTTAAATTTAATTTCTATTTTAACATTATTGATACTGCATTATCTTCAACCGATGAAAGATACGATCAGTTGAAGCAAGTTACTAAAAGTTTTGGAAATAATATTTTAATAATTTATTTTTTGTTATACTACTCTATTATCCTACTAATTAGAATCATTTTTTAATAATTAAGTTAAACCTTTGAAATATGAGTGTTTTTTCTTAATAAAATGCCTTGTCTAACTTATATTTAAAATGTTAATAAGAGTCATTGTTATCGTTGGGAAAAGTTACATCAAGTGTTATATTATAATTGTCACAGCAACAGTTTTCCCATTTTGAAGCGTTTCTATGTGAAGCAGTGCATTTACCGAAAGCATGTAGAAACGATTTCGAATTTTGCGCTGATCACGTGTTTAACTTCTACCTTTATGGTAAATATGGTACGGTGGTATTTTCCAAATTTTCAAAACGATTCAGACCAACTAAGTATTTATACATCTTAACTTAAATCCAGAATTCAGAAGTAGATTCAGTATGCTGCTACTGTATAAAATGCAGTTTGTATGTCAGCTATATGCTATAGTAATCCGATCTGAACAATTTCTTCTGAGATATATTTTTCGATAAAAACTGAGGGACTAGTTTCCGTTCCCCTACGTTTCTTTTAACGAGTAAGGACAGTCCGCTGAGTAGTTGGACTTGCTGTTCATTCAAATTGTAAAGTTGTTTACTCGTATAACTTATTAAGTTCAATTGTTTTAAAAATTGGTTTTATTCGTAGATTATTGTTGTAAGCTTCTACAAAAATTTCTTATTTCTTTCCGTTCAATAAAAATATTATTACAGTGAAGCCTCAAATGTGCGTAAACATCAGAAGAAAAATTTAATGGGGAAGAAAAAACCTGTTTATTTCTAGCATACTACCACTTCAACTATGTTAAAAATACCTTCATAACTTATAATTATACCATAATAACAAGTAACAAAGTACAAATACTAACAGTACCGCACAGTTGTTCTGTGTAAAAAGAAGTGCTGATGAGTCCCCTAACGAAAATAAGTGCATTAAGGTTACGTGTTTTTTTTGCCAATCGTTCAGTTCCAACCGATGCTTCCTGCGGTGACCTTCACTAATCCTTGGAGTATCATTTAAAACCAATCGGACAAAAACAATTAGTTTTATTAATAGATTAACTTAGTTCCTGATCAAAGCCTTTGGCAGCCTCAAGAAATTTTTTTCTAGACTTTCGAAAAAAAATCAACAGTTGACTGTTTATAAAAAGTTTAACCAGACACTAGTTTCTCGGGTTTTAAAAAAAAGCTGTATAATTTTCATTAAAATCTACAGAGTGGTTTTCAAGCTACAGTAGTCCCCAGTTCAAAAAACAAAGTTTTGAGAAAAACGAATTTGAAGATCTTAATTATCATATATTGTTTCAAAATTGACTTGTAAACAAATTTATCTTGTTCGTGTTATTCAAATCTTCTCTAAAAAAAAGTTAAATAACTTCCCTCAGATCACTCAAATTAAATTTTATCGGACATATTTTTTGACTTCATCACATTAAGTTAATAATTTCATTTGTTCATGTTTGTAAAAACAAATCAATTGAAAATTAAGCGGAACGTTCATATCAGCACATTACACAATCAGCAAAACAAAAAAAAACAAAAAACAAGGAGGATAACCAAAACACTTCAATGTTCAAAAAGCGTGAAAGTGGCATGACGAAAAAAGTACCAGAACTTATAATATTAAAGCTCTGCGCATATATTATATGAGCATTTTTACGTTGATTTCTTATATATCATAAAAGTGAATATTTTTTTTGGAAGTGTGCATACAATTTAAAGAGCACAAATCAATTAGGCATCAATTGCAACTTGGGATTGGAAATAGCACAAGTGGACTTAAAGTTTTTATTTTATGGTTTCAGGCATGGTGAATATCATACGGTAAGGCAAAAGCAAAAAACTTAACCTTTACAGTTGAGAGAATTGAAGAGAACTCCTATAACTGAAACGGTGTCATACGCAAGAAGCGAACTTTCGATTTCGTTCTCTGGATATAGGCTTTGCTACGCAAACTGCATGAAGTTTTGTGAATTATGGGACATTCATAAATTTAGCAAGAATTTATAATAGTTTCCCGCTTTGTTGCCTTTTCCTGCTTAACCCCATCTATGTACATATGTGTTTAGTTATAAGTTGTTGTGCATATTACGTGGGACACGAATGCTACAGTTTTTATACCCTGAACAGGGTATATTAAGTTTGCCACGAAGTATGTAACACCCAGAAGGAAACGTCGGAGACCCTTTAAAATTTATGCATAAATGATCAGCATGACGAGCTGAGTTGATTTAGCCATGTCCGTCTGTCTGTATATATACAAACTAGTCCCTCAGTTTTCAAGCTATCGACCTGGAATTTTGCATCTGTCCTTTTCTTACCAAGAACCACTGTAGCATATAGCTGCCATACAAACTGAACAATCGGAATCCTGCTTTGGAGAAAAGTCGGTATAGAAAAGTCTTTCATTTGACGAGGTATATTCACGAAATTTGGCATGCATTATTATTTAATTAATCTAACATCCGAAGAAATTGTATAGATCGGATGACTATAGCATACAGCTGCCATATTAACTGAACGATCGGAGTTAAGTGCTTGCATGTAAAACTTTTTCATTTGACGATGTATCTTCACAAAATGAAGCATGGATTATTGCCTAAAGCAACAATGTAATTTAAGAAGAAATTATTCAGATTGGATGACTATAGTATATAGTTGCCATATTAACTGAACGATTGGAGTATTTTTTTATTTGACAAGTTATCTTCACGAAATTAGGCACGAGGCAACAAATTATTCTCCGCAGAAATTTTTCAGATCAGATTACTATATCATATAGCTGCCATACAAACTGAACGATCGGAATCAAGCTCTTGTAAGGGGCCTTTGTATTGTGAAGGGTATTATAGCTTCGGTGCAACCTAAGTTAACGTTTTTTATACTCTCGCAACCTGTTGCTACAGAGTATAATAGTTTTGTTCACCTAACGGTTGTTTGTATCACCTAAAACTAATCGAGTTAGATATAGGGTTATGTATATATAAATGATCAGGATGAAAAGACGAGTTGAAATCCGGGTGACTGTCTGTCCGTCCGTGCAAGCTGTAACTTGAGTAAAAATTGAGATATCTTTATGAAACTTGGTACACCTGTTTCTTGGTACCGTAAACGGTTGGTATTGCAGATGGGTGTAATCGGACCACTGCCACGCCCACTAAACGCCATTAATCAAAAACAAATAAATTGCCATAACTAAGCTCCGCAATAAGATACAAGACTGTTATTTGGTACACATGATCACATTAGGGAGAAGCATTTGCAGTTAAATTTTTTTTTTTAAGTGGGCGTGGTCCCGCCTCTAATAGGTTTAATGTGCATATCTCCTAAACCACTAATGCTATAATAACAAAATTCACTAAAAGCAAATGTTTTAGAACCTCTACCTACAGTGTGAAAATAGTTGAAATCGGGTGGCAACTCCGCCCACTCTCCATATAACGGTACTGTTAAAAACTACTAAAAGCGCGATAAATCAAGCACTAAACACGCCAGAGACATTAAATTTTATCTCTGGGATGGTATGAAATGACTTTATAGGAACCGCGTTCAAAATTAGACAGTGGGTGTGGCACAGCCCACTTTTAGGTGAAAACCCATATCCTGGGATCTGCTTAACTGATTTCAACCAAATTCGGTGCATAACGTTCTTTTTATATTTTTATGTTATAGTGCGAAAATGGGCGAAATCAGACTACAACTACGCCTATTTCCCATATAACACATTTTCAATTCCATCTGATTCTTTCACTTTCCATTATGCATATCAAGCAACAATGATTATATCGAGGTAAAACTTTGCGTGAATAATACGTTTAAAGTATGCCACCTTGTGACCAAAAATTGTCTAAATCGAACCAAAAGTGTTCAAGCCCCTAAGTACTAAATATGTGACCCCAGTGCCTATAGTTGACCTTCTACCGAAAATATCAGCCAATCCACAAAGAAATCTCAAACGAGTACACCATTTGACTTTGCGAGAGTATAAAATGTTCGGTTACATCCGAACTTAGCCCTTCCTTACTTGTTCTTGTTTCATTTTAGCTTTACTACAAAATTAAAACATACAAGTATGTACATAACATTTATAGGTAACCATAACTCACTTATGTAATACGTTAAACATTGTTTATCTATCTCTATATATATAGCCGATCGGCGTTTGTTATTGAAATAAATAAATAAATAATAAATAAATAAATAAACGTATGTATGTGTTTACTATTATATTTATTATAGCGCAACATGTTACTACAGAGTATAATAGTTTAGTTCACCTAACGGTTGTTTGTGACACATGATTAGGATGACGAAATGTGTAGAATTCCGGGGTACTGCCCGTCTGTGTAAGCGATAACTTGTATTAAAAACTGAGATAACGCCCTAAAACTTGGTTCACATTTTCTTTGGCACCCATTGTTGGTACTGCAGATACATATGTATGTATGTAGGTAGAATCGAATCATTGCCACGCGCACAAAATGCCGGTAACCGAAAACTTATAAAGTGCTATAACTAAACTCCAAGTTAAGACGAAAACTGTAAATTAGCGCAGGATATCTCAAAGGTGGGTGGGATTGTCCCCTAATAAGTTTAATGTATATATTTCACAAACCATACGAACTATAACGATCAAACTTGCTGAGGAAAAATCCGTTTGATACCTCCTCAAACAGTGTGAAACCGGGTGATAGTGTATGATATCCACGTGCACTCGCCATATAACAGCTATACTGAAAACTACTAAAAGTGCGATACCTGGCTAAATAAATACGTCATAAACAACAAATTTTACATAAAAGATAGCATACATATATGTATGTAAGTAGGCGATGTAAAAGTTTTACAATGGACGTGGTAGTCAGGAATTAGTCGGTCAATTGTACCAAAATTTGATGTGTAGCATTACATTTTTATCCCTATTTTATAGTGTGACTACGAATACGCCTACTTCCCGTATTTCGCAATTTTGAATTCCATGTTTGCCTTTCACTTCTCAGTACATAAAACATATCGGTTTAAAACTGTACACAAATAGTTCCAAAATTTTGGACATCAGTGCTCATGGCAAACCTTTCAAAGAAAATACCAGTAAATTGAATAGGTATCTTTATGAAAGTCAGAGATCATCCTTTTCTTTTAAAAATATGTCTTGATACCAAAAATGTATAGCATAGTTATGAAACTTAGTGAGTTTATGGTTTATAATATAAATAAATAAGATATCAAACATTATTGTAATTCTCTTGAAAATTACGAGAGTATAAAATATTTGGTTACAACTTCGGTCCACTTTACTTGTTTGTATATTGCATATAATTATGACAACTATTTATATTCAATTTTATACAATAACAAATTTATAATATGAGAGTACCATAAGAAATACAGACATGAAAAATATTACAGTGAAGTTTTTTTGGCGATATGTGATCTCTAGCCGTAACTTACAATAGTTATCTTTGATTCACCATTTTGTTGCTCGTTATCTGTAAGCGCTGTTATCTAGTTGAATTCGATGAAAGAGTATATGCGGATATGTCGTTAAAGTGATATTACCGCTTTCTATAAACACAGGACTTCTTAAAATATTATTTGGGGCATAGAATTTTCTACTAAAGAAAGAAGTAAAACCAAATTGCCCAGGCGTATGCGGACATATATTATATAATAGCATAATAATAGTATGCGGGAAAATATTGTTAGTAAGTCCGCGCGATTGGAAAACCTACAAACCGTATTTTCTACTTAACTAACTTGACTTAGTACGCCGCTTGAAAATTTATCATTCGAAAACGTTTTTCAATATTTATTTTATTATGTTTAATAATGTTAATGAATGCAAAACGATTACAGTCGATGCTCACAAATTAGAACCCTCAGTAATTAGAATTTCCAAATATTAGAAACAGAGTTTGCAATACATTAAACGTTCTGAAATTAGAATTAAAAAATCGAATTTCTGAGTTACAATTGAAAATCAAGCTATTATTGTATTTTGTTTGTGCGACAAAAATTCTAAAAACGGGTGTAACCAATTTATTTATGTCATTCGTCGTCGCACTGATTTTGGCTAGATGCTGTGTGAATTTGATGAGTGTGTGCTTTATGGGATGAGGTTTAAAAACTCCTTTAAAGCGTGTTTTTTTAGTTATTAAACTATAAATTATTTTTAGAAAATAATTTGCATCCGAAGGCTGTTTTACTTATTGATAACTTACTTACTCCGTTCATGCACCAATTGGGAAACTTCAAATTGACAAAGGTGGTTTCTGAGTTATTATCGTCATTGCCTAATTTACTTAATGTTTTTAGTTATATACAAATAAAAAAAAACTACCAGGAATTCGAACTTTTCAGATATCACCCTAAAAACAAAGTGGTTCTAATTTTTGAGCATCGACTGTATACGAAAATAAATAAACTATAGAATAACGTGTTTATTTTAAAATAATTTCAATAACTTGCAATTTACTGTTTAGTTTAATCTCTCTATACTTTCGTGGTCGTCAATTCAAACAAAATTTTATATTAAATCAACATTCCTTGTTGCATTCAGGCATGAACTCATTGATTTGTATGAACGTAGACTATAGCGCAACTCTTCTAATATTGCACCACTACATACTAGCAAAAAATGTATATATTGTTGAGAAGCCAAAAATGTCGCAACCAATCAGAGCTAGCGATATTGTTTTCTCACTCATACACAATATATACCAAAGTTAGCCGAGTCCGGCATTACAACAAAGAAAGGAAACGACCACACTGACTGTGACGAATGAACGGTATGCATGTATGGCGAATCAAAAGCCAACAAAAAATTGATAAGCAAATCAATGCAACGTATTCCAAACATTCATACGCATCTTGAAAGACACAATGGTGACAGCGGTACTAATGATTGTATCAAATGGCGAGCACCACTATGTGAACACGGTGTCCAAAAGTAAATGGGCGCCAGTGGCATTTAGTACAAAATAATCAACGAACAAATAAACGGATACCATCCGACCAGCTGGATTTTCCAATCACAGTGTAATAAGTGAAAAGTGCGTGCGACAAGATTCGGTACTTTTACGTAGTGCTCACGTATGTACGTGTAACACACAGTGGCGGCAAGCAAGCGAGTTCCCTTAATGAAATCAACTAAAAATTTGCTAATAAATGATGCAGAGTTGTTAGAATCTATTAAAATTTGGCTATAATATAGGGATACATTCAAACATAAATACTTGTGTGGTAGTCTCAGTGGTGGATGTATCTAGTGTTCAACTGAAGTATTTTACTCAATCAAATTCGGCTTACCAATGTAAGATTTAATGTGAATTTATTTTAGCTTAATAGATGCGATTAAATGTGATTTTTATAGCGCGAAAATCTACAGAAAAAATTATTATTTACATATAATATGTACATACATACGTATATGGACATAAGCGCGGACTATTAGCATAAATGCAGTGCAAAATCCGTTAAAAAAATATGTTCACCAATGTAAAAAAAATTAAAGAAGATTATAGTAATTGTGAATATAATAACATATAATAATATTATTATAATAATGTGTTCGCAATATCATTTAAAATCTATGACTTGCATTGGAATACACTCATACCTCGCTTAACGGCCTTGATACGTTCTACGAAACTTGGCCGTAAAGAGAAAAGAAGTAGAAGGAATAATTTAATTTAATACAAATTCATACAAATGCAAGATCTGTTCCAAATTTGTTAAAAATGTAACATGGTTTATTATTCAAAATTAATTTGTATACCTTTATTTAATTTAAATCAAAATAGCATACATAACAAGTACATATATTTATACATAAAATAATATCGGACTCTGAAATCCAACAATAATCTATAAACAAAAGTCAAACGAAAAAAAAAACTCACGCATGGCATGTGTCTTATATCTAGTAAAAGAAATAAAAAACCCAAAAAGCCTGTCCAATAAAAGGATAAATAGAAATTCTCAATATATAAGGTTACAGGGTTCTTACGGGATATGTTTTTCTGTCGATTTTGTCTAGCTCGTTTGAAACCAAAAGCCAAATATGAGTTGTATAAATCAAAAGATCTACTTTTACCAAGAGCAGTAGTTGTTTTTTTCATGTACCTTTTAGGTATAAGTATAATGTTAGTACAAGTAGATGAACTCATGAAAGCAAAGCAACAAAAGAATAATAATAAAATAATAATAATTTTTTATTTAATTTGCAACTTTTCTTATAGATATATGTTATTAAAAAATTAATTTTTATTAATTAAAGTAATGTATTAGAAAGCATCAAAATATAAATCATCACTAAATGAGTGAATATATGTACATACGAAAGCGAATGTATGTACGCTATAGAAAGAAAACGTGAAATCAAATAAAGTGAGGTAAAATATTATCATATAAATGTGTGTTTTTAAGTGCTATTGAAGATTTGGAAACAAAAGCTTTCAATTAATTCCGCCCATTACAGTACGAAAATTCTGACATATTTCTTCGAAAAAGCACATCAAAAATTAGTAGAATGGAGTAAAAAGGTATTCGTTTGACAACGCATGCAGAGTAGGGTGGTTGGGATTGTTCAATTGTCGCCCACCTGTGGTTTGCCTGAAAGGCATACAAACAAATTTACATTTTCTTATATATGTATGAATGCCCCTATGTGTTTTGCGACCTGGACATATGTAAAAAAGTGCATATTTAACATTTATTACAGTGTTTGAAGAGTGTGCGACTTTAGTGTGTTTACATCTTCATCATTGCCACCTACTGAGTTCTAACTTAGCGTGACGCGAATGCCTCTTTTTTTCGTCAATCACATACTCACAAAGTATTCATTGCATATACTACCATATATATCATTAATATGAACCGTGCATGAAACCTTTGTGAAAAATTACAATTCTTTAATTAACATTTATCCTTACCAAAAATGGCGCTTTATAATTTCACCTACTACCAAAAAGTCCTTCAACTGGCGGATATTGAAATGTATAAAGAAACATTATTTTAAAAAAATCAGAAATAAAAACGAATGAACGATCAAATACATGTCCTTGTAAGAATTACGTTTGTACTTTACAAGATATCTTCACAAAATTTGGGATTGATTACGTTAAATGCAATGCCACAATCTCTAGAAAAATTGTTCACATCGGACTACTATAGCATATAGCGGCCATACAAACATTCCGATGCTGTAAGAAATGCACCCGTAAAGAGTATTCTAGCTTCGGTGCTACCAAAATTAATATTTTTTTTTTTATTATATTCTTTTGATTTAAAAAGTTGATTTTCGAAAACGAAAATTCTCTGGGCAACCTGGCTTGATATCAAAAAATAGGATTCTGTGCTAATATTGTAATTTTTTATATTTTACTACTGCCTACAATGTCTGACTTGAACTTTCTAAATTTTTTAGCAAAAGTGTGTTCAAATTCGTTTGGCAAAAACCCATTAGGTATGTAAATATTTAATTAATAATTAATTAAAGTTGAATTTGTTTTATTAAAAAATATAATGGGGTGATTTAATTTTGACCACTGAACTTTTGTCCACTTTGAACTATTTTAAGCCAAACTCTTAAAATTACAATCAAAGAAAATCATAATAACTTTTTTACATTAAATTATTTAAATATATGTATAACCTAATAATATATGCGAAAAGTTCTTATTTCTGATATTTTTTTTTTGCCAACAACAAGAACAACATTATTCTAATTGTGTTGCCTTAATACACTTCAGGATATAAAATCAATTTACTCTTAAGAACTGATCTTTTATTTTCGACTAAAATCTACAGTTTTCCAAAAATTATATTTTAATTCAATAACAAAATATGAGAGAAAAATTAATCAACGACCGTATAACATTATAAAAGTGCAATATATTTATAAGCGAATGTCCGTAAGCTACTCCGTTCTAACTTCGTATACGTACTTATTTATCACTTTGAAAGAGCGATAACTCTCTTATATATCAGTTTCCGCTGAAAACTACTTGAAAACTCACATTCCACTCATTCTAAGCGGGGCTTCCACTATTTTAGTCAATATTATTCGAAGACACATTTTGCCATTCCCGTATTGTCACTTGATTTTTGTATTTTCAATATAGTGGAAAAGCAAATATATAAAAAAAGTACGTGTGGCACTCGGGGACTGCCGCGGTAAAGCTATTGCATAGCATTTTTTTATCAACTTATGCAATTATAATTTTTTTGGTTTTTTTTTTGCAGTATTTTTTTTTTTCTTTGATATTAATTCAAGTTACACTTTTTGAGCATGGTGATTGATAAAAAAACAAATTTTATTCTTTATAGAATAAATGAGAAGTCAATACTGTTTAAAATATTTTTATTATCTTACAATACATTTAGGTTATTCAGGAATTTTTATCATTGAAACTATAGGTTTATGGTAACTGAAATAAGAAACATAAGTTTGAGACTTGGTATCCTCTAAATATCTGGAAAATACCGCGTCAATGGTGGTCCCATATTTTGTTGTGGTTTCTTGTGGATCATTATTCATTTTCAAATTCAATTTTTCCGAAAGAAAAGTTTTCAACCCCTCTGAAATTTTATCAGAGAATTTGATGTTGAAATCGCCACCCAAGATAAGTAGAAATTGATTATCATTGATAATCCGATTGAAATACCTAATTTCAATTGTATTGTTCAAGTCAAACGAGATACTGTTCCAAAAGGTGGGGTAGCTATTTACCAAAATAATAATAATGTTACTAATATTATGACGCCGAATATTGAGTAATTTATTTTTTATTAATTAAATGTTTATAAAATTCTATATTTTTATTTGCCATTAAAAAAATTGTATCTTAAATATTATTATTTTTAATCACCCTGTTCTTCACTTGATTTGTTCCGCTTGAGATATGCAAAAATGCGCCTACAAGTATGCAAGCATTTTGCGCATACTTTCTGACGTGTTAGGTTTATATCCGTTACGGAATTTCTTCATTTGGGTGCCGCGTACAAAGCCCGTGATAAAAGCTATGCAATAGCTCAATAAAATGTATGTATATAGAGTACACACTCATTTTCTTTCACTATTTTTTCATAATTTTTTTCATTAATAAATACACTTTCTGATGCAAAATTTCACAAACCGAGAAGCCAATACTTTTATTATTGAGACTTTCTTTTTAGAAATTTAAGAAACACGATGTTTAATAATAATTGTAAGCAAAAGCTTTTCGAAACTTATCATTCTTGTTGCTTAAAATGTGAACAAAAAAACAAACATGTGAACTGAATGAGAACACACTGAAAAAACACGATCTCGGTCAGACTATTTTGATACCATAATCCACGAATTGTGTTTTCTAGATTTTTTTAATATCGTTGCGAACATATTATAAAATCTTAATCAAGCCATTTACTATTCCTTTTTATAGCTATGGGAATACCAAAAACTTTACTCTGCATTTTGCCATACCGATCTAAATATATAATGATTATTTTAATTTCCGTTTATTCAATATTATCCGTTATGCTTTTAATATATTCGTCAAAATGAGAAACATCGAATAAATGAACATTTTGGGTGCTAAAGGATATGTTTTCATACAAAATTCGATTTCTTCGTAATTATCATTATTGTTTACTTAGTGCTTATTTACATCTTGTTTGTTTCTTTTATATAAATAATTTCACTTTACTTTCTTATGCATTATGTCTAGATTCTCAATCAGAATGGTCTAAAAAATCTGTGATAAAATTGGTCAAGTTCGTGCTGATAGTACATATTTATTTTATTTAAATTTAACGGGTTAAATTCACTTGAACCAGATACAGAATTTACAAAATGTACTTCAGTTGTCGCCAAATTACTTGTGATAGATGGACGTGGTCCTCCATTCATAACATTTAAGTTAGTTATTAATTAGCAAATATTAATATCATTACAAATAAAATAGACGTTTAAATATAACCGATTTTTAACATAGATGTTTTCCAATAAAGCACAAATCGATCCTTTTTATTACTTAATACGTTGATAATTGCATAAAAAGCGTAGAACAGAAACAGCTAACTATATTTTCATGCAAACAATCAAATAAACGTTTTTAAGTGAGTTTTGCCTTGCAAAATCTAAAAATAAAGTGTCACTATATGCTTTAAATTTTTGCACAGTTTAAAACGAAAGTCGAGTGATGTAGAAATTTAGAAAAGGCAATTATTAAAAGTGAATATATGTGTAAATTAATTATATAATTGAAAGTTTTGCAATATTTCGTGTAAAGTGGACAACGATCTCGCCGTCGTTAAGTTGTCGGGCCGTACCAATATAATTATTGACGTTGGGGAGAACGACGGCGACGTTGGGGATTACAACAATCAACAACAACACAACAGACGTGAAATTCAATTAACAATAGCCACACAGGAAGATTTCCCATCGCCGCCGCTGACACACTCCGAACAGCAGCAACAGTGGCAATTTCTGAAAATTCCCTCTATATATGAACATAGCTCGCATTCATATTTCGACCAATATCAAGCACATCAAGGCCAACAACCGTTTTATAACCATTTTTATACTCATGAAAATTTGGCACAAACGTTATATCAACGAAAACAGTCACCTGTAACACAATCGTATGAGCACAATCAACAACATTTTACATATTATCGACAACAACAGCAACATCAACAAGTCACACATCAAAAACTGAAATTACTCGAAATGTTTGCAATACAACCAACACCATCAATGGGAGCTGTCATCTCGCCATGGTCGGGCACAATGATCGATCGCATACCTTCACTCGATGATATGTCACACAAAGGTAAAATGCTATAACCTTAATAATAGTCTAGTATATATATACTCGTACATACCCTAGTAACCAAATCCATATGGACAAGTTAGAGTCGTTTCAAAAACAATTTTTACTTCTCGCCTTAGGGTATTTCCGATGGGAGATCCAAGGTTAAGTCTTCCTCTTATAAATCTACCCTTCTAGTCGTAGGGAAATGCTTTTCATAACATTCTTAGTGAAAATCCTGAACGAAACAGTTGACAGTGCTTTTCTATTGTCTGAAGTTAAATTTAATATCCCAGCTCGCTTATTGTTAAAATCTTGTAAATCAAATTTTGAATTAAACGAACCTTTCCGTCGCATATGTCATGACCTTCATTCTCAATTTTGCACATTTCATTTATCTGACTCACTTTTTAAATTAAATTAAAAAGACTATATTACTTTCTCTTAATAAATAAAATCGTAAAAAATTTTTATTATGCAATTTTAAATCTTAGCTGGAGAAATTTTTATTTATGTGGCTGAGCAATTTTAGATCTCGACGCTTAAAAAACTCTCTTGCCTTTCCTGACTCGGCTAATTCCGCACGTATGCGGATTCCGCCCCGCGCGTCGGTTGTGCAGGAGGAGGGAAATAATTGGATTACACTGGTTAACAAAAGGTTAACTTTTTTTGTCACATGAAAACTCATATAAAATTTTAAATGTACTAGGGCTACTAATTGTTAATATTATATGTGAATGAAAAAAATTGACAAGTCAGGTTTCCTTGTGACTTTCAATAACATATACAGGGGTGTTGTGGAATCCAAGGTACAGACTTGCTTAGTTGTCAGAATTGCAAACCAATTCTGATTTCCAATGATGTCACAGAATCCGATAGGATTTTCGTCTTTTCGAACATACGCAAAACCAATATACGAATCAGCTGTTTACTAAGGTGACAAAACTTCCAAATGAAAAAATTTGGAAGCGTTTCATAAATTTAAAATACTGAATAAAGACTAAAGTTTACAATGAGTTACGCTAATTAAGCTTTTGTTTTATTGGACGAAAAACGCAACGAAAAAATTAAAAGCAAGATATTAGGCATCACAGTATTCCACTTGATGCACCAAGGGAACCGAATGTGAAATTTGGCTTGCATTCACTTGTATAATTACAGATTTATATCACATTATCGACTGAAACTTAAAGACGCATTTGGGTGTTGAATTACGTTTATTACATTTTGTAAATCTTCTTAAAATATCTGAATTGTTTCCAAAACTCAATAATTATGACATTTTGTGTTTTATCCTATAGAAATAAAGATTAATTAAAGCGTAACCATAATAAAAATTAACTTCTTAACTGACATTTCAACTCTGTCAGTGACTATTCTCTTGCTTTGTATCTGATAACATAACCGATAAAATTGGTTTCCGTGACAGCCAAAACCGATACAATTTCTGTTTAGAACGTCAGAAGAGTTCATGACACCTACTAAATTTTTTATCGGCTTCAATTCTGATTCCGACAGCTATCAGATTCGACAAGACCCCTGATATATTTATATCATATATATTTTCTACAAACATCAGCTATACTTAGAGAAATTATTGCTTTATATAGAAAAAATACTTATGATGTTCGTTAATGTTTGGTTACTGAAAAGTCGTTTTAAGTCTCTAACAATAATCTACTAACATTCCTGCGCTCTATTTCCTTTGATAGCGCATCTCAATTAAGGAAATGTCTTAATGGAACCTCTCGCTTTGTTCGTCACTCACAGCATCGTAAAAAATTTTGGACAACGTTCACAAAACATTTCCAGGTGTTTTCTTCCTGATCATTCAGTTTTTCTTCAAAGCTCTTATCTTATATCAGATGCCGTATATGTGGTCCCACAAGGGTACATAAAGTTTTCATAAAGTTCGTGTGACAAAAACAGTGTTTACCAGTGTTATAATTTAATTTTAAAAATTTATTTAAATTAAATTAAAATATCGTTGTAGTTATCTATTTTCTACGTCTCATAGGTTCGGTTGGTATATTACATATAGCCAATAATTAGAAGTTATATCTACTCAGATATATGAATTTATGCGCATATGTGATCTGAGAATCGCATTAGGGTTTGTTCCATATAAAAGCTTATACCATAAAAGAAAATAAGTTGTAGTGTGCTAAATCAACTGAAGCTGATCTTCCTGTTATTTGTGGTGCGCGACTTATAGAGGAACTTTGCCACTTCAGAAACTCAGACTCGGTTTAAAAACCTTCTATTTATAATTTCTTTTTTTCTGATCTTTTTGTCTATGGTATAGTATGAATGAAGTTACCAATAGTTTCAGGAGTCACTGCTTGTGTTGTTTTCTTTCTCAGCAAACCATATCTAAAGTAGAAATTTAAACAGCTTGATGAAACTTTCCAAGCTTGAGTAATGTTTCGGAAAAAGACTTGCGTGAACGTACAAAAGGTGTAACACCTATTGCTTAAGTAATAAAAGCCAAACTTGACACATATCAGCTTTATTGTACAGGTTCCGAGACGATAATAATATTAATCCCTCTTGTCTAAATTGTAACACAATTCAAAGAGTTATTGTAAAGTTCTGTTATAAGTTCAGACCATACTAAAAATTAAACTATAATATACTAGGCGAGCGAGCGAAGCGAGCGTCCCGGAGCGCAGCGGAGCGCGAGCTAGCTCGCTCTTATGTTAGTTGATTCTCGACAGCAGCAGAAAACTTTTATATATAATAGAGAGATTTTTCAATAAAGAAGATTTTATATAATAATGTATATAATATATTAAGTGAGAAACAAAATTTTATTCTAAATGGTCACCTTTTACTTTAGCACATTTGACGACACTGCTCGAACCAAAGATTTTTTTAGACTTTCCAAACTTTTGTGGGGTATTTACGAACTGTCCAATGGATTCAAATCTGAACTACTAGTCGGCCAGTCATCTGCAGCTATGGAACTAGAAATATTACTTTTAAGCCTCTGCAGTGTAGTTTTTCCTTTGTGTGTTGAAAATTGATTTGATCGATATATCCATTTCCCTGGACATAATATTCTGTTTCTTAAAGAGATTACGCTTGCGAACAGACTTTTTGAGAAAAACGATCAATAGTGTGGTAAACATTTTAAGTTTTTTGAAAAGCTCATGAATTTCACATGCTCTTTTTCCACACTAATATAAAGCAATCACTGCAATAGGGTTTTCCTTACCTCCCCCCTACATTGTTAATAAGCCAAAGCAAACGCTCAACTAATTGTATGTCACTGAACTCCTCCTAGACGGCTGGACCGATTTTGATGAAATTTTTTGTGTGAGTTCAAAGGGTGTCGAGGATGATTTAGATTCACAATTCGATCAACTAGATAATGTTTTAACAATGAATTTATTTATTTTTCAAATTGTTGTTGATGTTAGAATATTTTGCATAGAATTCCGGCAGACTGCGCTGTCGTGTCAGATATTCAAAAGTATATTTGAGTTTACGATATAATTATACAAAACATGCATGGCTACGTGAACAAGCTATTTTAGCAGCGAAAAATGTAGATGTCGACACTATCAATTTCAAAAGACAACAGTTTACAGTGAAATGCCATGAATTTACAGTGAAATCAATTGACACTGTGGTTGATCTGGTTGAAATTGTAAACCATCCTGTAGAATTAATTTGATTAGTCATAGAAAAAATCATGGGCAACCTTCTTAAAGCCACTATTTTGAGTGGAAAATTTCAAGTTGAAGTTGTACTTTTGCCACGGATTCCAATGATTTCTTCGGATTCGTCGATACCATTTAAACGTTTACAATTTCCCATCCGCTTGGCATTTGCGATGACTATTAATAAGGCACAAGGTCAAACAATGACGATTTGTGAATTAGATTTAGAAAATCCGTGCTTTTCTCACGGCCAATTATACATTGCGTGCTCGAGAGTAAGGAAAACCATCGACTTTATTTGTTTAATTAACACAACTTCAAGTTTTCATTCAATACAGCTTCTATATTTAACATCTCTGAAAGCATACTAATACACATACTCACACGCTATTGGTCGAATTCTGATAAATATATATGAATGACTTTACATATTTTAATAAGCTTCTAATGAAAATTTTCTTCAAAACGGTCTAACTGTTACAGCTAATTTCAAAAAGTATAGTATTTTTATAAAATATTTAGTATTTGTAAAAATTGCACGGAGGATGGCACCGAAAATTAGTTTGTAATATTCAAGTTAAGTATTAAAGTAAGAACTAAATATATAATATATTTAACATTATTTATAATATTACATTAATTGGATAACCAACACTGGACGATTTAAATACTGACGCAACTGTATCGGAAATCCTCTCGCTTCATCAGTATCTGCTTGAGACTGGTTGTGCTTGACAGCTTCATCAAATATCATCGCATTTTTCGTCTTTTTGAGATCCTTGGGCTTCAATAACTGGAGTAACTTTTTCATCGTAAGGATTCAATGTTTCCATATTTATTTTCAATTTCTTGAGTGAGTTTTTTTTTTTTTGTAATTGACGCCCTGTCACAGTATCTGACTTAAAATCTTCAGTTTTCTGTAAAATAATTAAAGTAAATGTAACGTTGCAACAATAAAAATAATTTGAATCTATTATCTAATTCTATATCTATTTTTTTAAGATCAGCAAACAAAGGGATACATTTACATAGAATCATCGATAATATCGTCTTCTTTTAAAGGAAGTTCGACTATTTGATCTTCAGATTCAGATGCTGATGGGGTTACATTTATGTCAATCAGTCTTTGCCCGATATTGTTGATGCCGTGTGCAATAAACGAAATGTGTTTTTCACTGCCGAATTCACTTTTAATAGCTCCCTTAATATTGGATCCTCCGTCAGAAACAAATGCAGCGATTTTCTTATCACTTAGATCCCAGCCATAATATATGGTAAGTTCTTAGCTCATCCAGAAGAAGGAAAAAAATAATATTGATTCTATGGGAAACCAAAAACATCATATTCACTTAATGTCAATAAAATATCTTACATACTTACCATTATGCATACTCGATTTTATTAAGATATGTATCTCATAAATTGACCCATTATTGTATGTGTATGAAATCAGCCTGAGGAGGTTCTGGAGGTTTGGTATATTCTATATCGACATTGTTTAGAGCTGACACAAAGAAGCACTATTTGTGTTAAGTTTTTTCCGATTTCTTCATAGGTGATTGATTTATCTCTTGTTACCTAAAAGTGGGAGTTGCCAAATCCATTGCCCAACATTAGTACCGAACAAAAGCGACGCTTCACGTTAGAGAGTTATCGCACTATTTATAGTTTTCAACATAACCGTTGTACGTGGTTATTTTCGAATTTCATCCATTTTCACACAGTTTCATGAAACGATAGAAAGTAATGTTTCCACCAAGTTTTAATAGTAGTCGCTTAAGTGGTTTAGGAGATTTGTGGAAATCATTGAGAGAACCGAGTCACGGTTTTAAATCACAAATTCTCTATATACTTTGATTATGTTTAACAATTTTAAGTTTTGTTGCTCGATTTGTAATTTAGTTATTGCAATTTATATTTTTCGATTAATGGAATTGTATATGTGTGAAAATGGATTATATGGGTGAAACTGAAATACAAACTTCTAAGATACATTCTAATACAAGTACTTTAATCCAAATATTTCAAATTTTACTTAAGTAATCACTTGACTGTGAGACAGTCATCCGTAAAACAAATCGTCATGTCATTCTGATAATTTGGTCTAACTCTAATCAATCTCGGTTCCAGTATCACAAATAACCGTTATGTGAGTATATGAGTATATGCGAGGTATATTATGTTATTTTGTACAACATGTTGCAAGAGCAATATTTCTTGGCGCTAATTTCAACTGCCAAACACTCTTTGATCGGGTTAAAATGTATGTATGTATATGTAGAGATATGTATATACTGAGAGGTTAAGATATACCAGTGCTCCCACATTTGCAGACCAAACAGAAAACCTAATAAAAATATACAAATATATCTAATAATAATCTGAAGCTGCATAAAACCTATTTTTCTCTATTCTCTTTTGTAGATAATGTTATTGCGATGAGAAACCTACCGTGTTTGGGTGTTGGTGTCGGTAGTAATAATAGTAGCAGCACCATCGGCGTCGGCAGTTTCAGCGGCGTTAGTGTCGGCGGTGGTGTAGGTGGTGTTGTCAGTGGCGGCGTTGGGAACGGTGGTGTCGGCGGAATCAGTACGGGCAAATCAGTTGTGGCTGCCGCCGCTGCTGCTGCTTTGGATGCAACAACTTCCACAGAAGCGCCATCAATAATACCACACGCAACGCCGTCATATTTCGCAACAACCTACTACCACCTAAGTGATGATGAATGTACGTTTAAAAAATATTCATATTCATGTGATCATTTGCTTATTCGCATATCCATATGTATGTATATATGTATCTAAAGATATATACATGCGCATATATATTAATTTTCTGTTTTAAAATATTCTAAACATGCACATATAAAAACCAATCAAACAGCTCTTCCTTCGCCCATTGATGCACTTACATACCTATATCATTTTAAAAATTCACAAACGAACCGCATTTTGATATTACTTTAAGACAAATTCATCTCTTTTGTGGGTTTTGGATCAAACAGTTTTTTCGGATTAAGTCATAAGTAATAAAGCAATTTGTCAATTCTTCAAAGTTAGCAAATAAAAATATCTGACTTCGAATTTCGAAATTGAGCTTTTCAATATCATCATTATTAAGAATATTTTGTATGTTACTAAAAAAGTAAAACATGGGTATCTCCGACGGTTTAATCTTATTTCAATAGTTTGTAACATTTTTCGTACACATTATAACTAATAATGCTAAACTAAGAAAACGTCAAAACAGAGACATCACTTTTTACTTATGATACTGTAATAAAGTGTCTACCAACAAGAACGACGTAATGTCAAAATGAAAAAAACCACTCAAATTTGATTATTTTACTTTTGTAATGCAAATAATTGTATGGCATTTATGATTTGAACAAAATCTCGGCCAAATGGCCACCACTACTCCGTTTGCATATCTCCACCCGTTTATGCCAATTTTCGATGAGGCAGCATTTCGGCTAAAACTTGGGCTATAGTGCGTTGAATGTTGCTTTCGAGTTTTTCGAGCGTCGCTGGTTGATTGGTGAAAACCTTTGATTTAACATACCCCGAGAGAAAAAAATCTAGAGGCGTTAAATCGCAAGATCTAGGTGGCTATTTGATTGGGCCGTTGCTCGAAAACTTAGCACTTAATGTGCACATGTTTAACGTGAAACATGAGGCGGCACACCGTGTTGTTCGAAATAGAGATTCGATTTCATCAAAAGTCGGTCAAGATTGTGTTATAACGCTCACTATTGATGGTAACGGCATTTCCTGCCTCATTTCGAAAGAAATTCGACAATTTTGTTTTTTGGCGAAGCCATTAAGCCAGAAATGGGCCTCATCCGAGAAAATGATGTTTTGCGCGAAGAGCTCTTACAGCAGCCACCGAAGTACGTGAATTTTCGTAATAATCTTGAACAATTTCCAAGGGTTGTACCAAGGTGGAACGTGTCATGATGAAATGGCAAACCTTATTGAGCACACTGACAAAATGTGACACAAACCCGCAAACATGACGCCACGAGCCGTCAAATTCACGTCATCCCTATTGGTAGACGCTGTACAAACATACTTATACCATCTTAAGGGGTTAGGTGGGTTTTAGTGGTTCAAAAAAAGAGTATTATATTAACTATTTTTTTTTATTATATACAATCATATATTTAAATTAAACAATTCACCTAATTCTACAATAATAATCGATAAAACTTTTATGTGTACTCGTATGGCAAGAATATTTCAAATATATTCAAGTTTATTTTTTAATTACTACAAAATATCGAGACTGGCAGCCCTGCGTTGAAAAAGATTACTCTCCCACTCTCAGCTCACTCGTTTCTACGGGAAAAATCCAATTTTCGCGGATATCTAATATATCGGTCTGTAGAAGCGGACGGTAAAAGCTGTGGTGAGTGTTCATTTACATTGCGCTCTCATATTATAGGTCGTATCAGCTGATTCGTTCCACGGTTTTGCGTCGGTGACTGTTTGAAGCATGAAAAAGAAATGCAACTACGACGCAATAGCAAATACGCGAGGCGTTCAGTTGCTTCTCTCGTTCATATTCCTTTGAGACACAACATACATGTTTATGAGTGTGAGTGGCCATCGCCACCGATTTTAAAGCATGTATACTTTGAGTGAGAAAATTAGGCACTCGTGCAGTTCTCTGGTACCGAAGTTCTGATTTCAATACATTAAATCACTCGAAGCTTTATCGTAATATAAGCTGTCTTCCATTCGTCAAGCATTACTCTCCAGCGAATCGAAAAACTATACCAGATGCTCAAACAAACGGGCGGAACTTGTGTTGCAACTCTGCGTTAACATGTCTTTGATGCACAATAGTGTTATGATTCTTTCTTTGTGGATAAGCTCTTTTTTTCGTGTTAAAAAACTTTACTGTAACCATTTATTTTGGCTTTCTATAAATTATTATAATTGATTTGAAGTCCTCAGTTTTAAAAATACAAGAAAAAGAAAGAAATTTGTAATTAAATTTGTTATTTGAACCATTCACAATAGTAAAAGTGAAAATATGCAAGAAAAAAAGTTGACAGCATTGAAGATAGAAGTTAACCACTTTAATGAGGTATCCACAAACTCTCCTGCTTCAATTCAGGTCGAAAACTTTTACTGCGTTAATATGGAGACTCTTTAGTCGCTCATTATCGGCAAATTCTCTTTTGGTGTAGCTCTGTGCGTTCCTACGAGCGAAAAGAGTCCAGCAACACGAGTCGAGTTTTTCTGTCATTCCTTTTTACAAAATTTTCGTTAATGTTTGTACGGTTCGCCTACGCGACACTTAGAGCATGTTGCATAGTTCATTTGTAGGTTGGTCTCACATTTTGCTTACAAGAAATTATCACGAATGTGGGAACAATGTGATTAATACCCGCTTAATAGTTTCAAAGAAATACTTAAATCGGGAATTCCCTAATACACCAGAATATATTGAATACCCACTACTAATATTTTCAAGGCCAATTTATGACAGGAATTGCCTAATATTTCGGGAAGCATTAAAAACCTATAATTTTTTCACTCCATTTATTTTTCTATTTATTAATTAATTAAAAAATATAATATTTAAAACATTGATGAATTAATTGCAATTCTAGTTTTAAATAAAATGATAATCGAACTAAAACCTTTGCGGTTAGGAAAGCATCTTAATATTTAATGTAAATATAAACAAGTAAAAGTAACTCCATTTTTATTAGTAATACATTTATTTACATATACATATCTATTTTTAATAGCGCTAAATGTCAAAAAAAAAATTAAAAATCAAATTTTGAGTATCTTAATTTTCTCCTTATTCACAATTTTTCAAAATATTTCTATATTTCTATGCATACATATTTGCATGTTACATACAAAAAATGGATAACGAAATACAAATATCCTATTATAAATATATTTCGCTATTGCGAAAATGAAAAGTAATGCTGAATTGCGTAGCAGCGAACTGTTACGAACAAGAACATAAAGTGTGCCACCCGAGCACGAGCGACACGGTCCCTATGTCTTTCCTAGTCGTCCCTTCGCCCACAAAAAAACAAAAAGGGTGACAAAAGTTTTTTAAATTCGGTCCATGGTGGCTAGTGCCCGCCGTTTCAAATGTATAATGAGTCTGGGTTTATTCGCCGCACTCGAGCGACATGATTACGGCAACTAGAGTCGGGCAATTTTCTGCATTGCCTTTCATATCTTATTCTCAAATTCTTATACGCTTCATTGACGCGGTGCATAAAAATTTTACTCATTAGCTAACTTTTATCCTTATTAGCCGTTTTCTAAAATATTTCGATCAGTTTATATCCTATAGCTGTCCGATCTGAATAATTTGTTTGGAGATAGTAATAATCTACGCCAAATTGTGTGAAGGTACTTTGCCATATTTTTATTTATTTCCCAATTAAATATACAGTTGAACTACATATTAAACCCTATAGAGACAAAAAACAATTGCCTGTTGATAGGGTAGGGAAAAGATAAGCCTAGGCCTATCGTACATGTATAATATTACTATAAGTATATAAATATATGAATGTATAAATGTATAATGTCACTCCCTTTTGAGTGTTTTAAATAGTTTTTCATTTTTAGTTTCTAATAATTAAAACTTTATTTTAAATGACTCTGTGTATCCAATAACCACTGTTTCAATTTAAAATTATTCGGCTTATTTCTAACATTGAGATTCTTATATTCAGCCGGCATTAGATTGTAATATTTCATAGCTACATAATACGAATTTTTACTATATATTGTTTTGTTGACTTTACACAGTTTTATATTTTTATGCCTTGATCTTCCCTCATAGTTGATATACAATATTTTACATGCATTATAGAAGTACAATAAACTATTTATTACAAAGGTTTGTTTAATGTTTAAAGGTGAATTTTGTCCTAAGTCAAGTTTTTTTAGTATTCTTTGTTGCATGGTCAAGAGTGGCTGAATTTCATTTCTGCATAACTAAGCTCCGCAATAAGATACAAGACTGTTATTTGGTACACAGAATCACATTAGGGAGGGCGTCTGCAGTTAAAAAAATTTTTTTTAAGTGGGCGTGGTCCCGCCCCTAATAGGTTTAATGTGTATATCTCCTAAACCGCTAATGCTATAATAACAAAATTCACTGGAAGCAAATGTTTTTAGAACCTCTATTGGCGATGTGAAAATGGGTGAAATCGGGTGACAAGCCACTCCCCATATATCCCATCCCCCGCGTTCAAAATTAGTCAGTGGGCGTTGCACCGCCCACTTTTAGGTGAAAACCCATATCTTGGGATCTGCTTAACCAATTTTGAACCAAATTCGACGCATAACGTTCTTTTCATATTTCTATGTTATAGTGCGAAAATGGGCGAAAAAATTGTTCAAGCCCCTAAGTACTAAATATGTGGACCCCAGTGCCTATAGTTGACCTTATACCAAAAATATCAGTCAATCCACAAAGAAATCTCAAACGAGTATACCATTTGATTTTGCGAGAGTATAAAATTACATCCGAACTTAGCCCTTCCTTACTTATTCGTTTACTTCGTAATAAGACAATATAGATTAGGAGAGAGGCACGTATTAATTAGTAAAAGCCTGTACATACCTACATATATGTATGTATAATATTATATACATACATGTGTGTTTATTTCGTTGATGTCACGTTTCTTGACTAAAGGTGCGACAGGAGTTGGTTCAATAATTGTAACAGTTTAC